GTTCCATAAGGTATTCAATGAGCCACATGTTTGTATATGCAGGTGGTACTGACCATGTGCCTCAATGTTCATACAAGAAGTAAAATCCATCTTTTAGATACTTTTAGTTTATGAGATATCTGTTCATGGAGGGCAACTGGTGTGTTTCTCCTGGGCTATAATGTGTCCTTGAACTCTGGTGGTGCTTCTTGCTTGTGTGGACAGAGAGAGTTGTGAGAGTAAACGTGTTGCTCTGCCTACTTCTGCCTCTGGCATGTGCCACCCCTGGAGTTTGCCCAGAAGGGAAGGGAGCCCTCAGGCTTCAAAAGGTGCCCCCCACCCCACCGCTGCTGTGGGCTCTGAAATCTGTTTGATGACACCCACGTCTTCTGCCGCTTCAGAGACATGCAAAATAAAAACGATGAAAAATGGTTTCTCTATCTGGGCGTCTTTGGCTCAGAACCTCTCCCTCTCCCTGCAAAACTAGACTAAGCAACTATCTTCGTAACTCCAAATATAGTCAGCCGTTTGGAAGAAAAATTTTAGTCATAGCAAATGGAGACTCAACAAAACATAACCTCGCCTTTGCAGTGCCTACAACTCCTTTCTTATGCTCTTCACTTAGGCTTTATTTATGCTAGACATGTTCCCTTGTCCTGATCATGCTGTAGCAGCCCACAGCTTGAGGGCGCCACGAATGTATCAACTCATTTATCAATGACTTGGTGGATATGAATAGACGTATTCTCATTTGTGATAACGTGGATCCTTTCTGTGGCAAGTTAACTTCTTCCCGACAAAATGACTCTGATGCTGCGTTTACTGTCTTCCATAAACCGTCTCATTCTCCTACCCCATCAGAAGAATACCCTGTTGTAGGGCAGTGTGGGCAGGCTCCCTTACTTTATGGAGGACAGTCCTCTTATATGAAGGAGTCCTCTAATTCGAATGGGAATCTCTGCTTCGAGGCCATTTAAAAGACCAAGTGGTTTCTAGATTCTTGGGGGACTCCCTATGTAGGCAACAGCACTAAGTTTTTTAATCAAAAGGGGAAAGGATATTATTGTTTGTTTTAACAGTCCTGACAATGATCTGTGAGCTTCTCTAGAACGTAGGTCTTCAACCAGTGGGTTGGGACCCACAGGTGGGTCATGAGGCCCTCCTTGTTGGGTAATCGCAAAGCTTTTTTTCCACTCCAGCTAAGACTGACCATATCAAAGGAGCACTACATGCAGTGGCTGGGCTAGAACGAGGAGTTTGGCATAGTGGCTGAGTAAGCAGCAGCAATCAGCTCTATTCAGGGACTGTAAGAATCTCATGGAGTAGGACAACAGGAACTGGAACTCAGCCACTCTTTCTTTCCTGGCCACATCAAAGAAACAGCCAAAGTCTGAAACAGAAGCAAGGAGCTGATAGCTCATTCTTCCAGCCAGGAGTTTCAAAGACGGCAACAGCTTGTGCTCTGAGTTGTCACTTTGCTGTACAAAGAGTTCTGTAGAACTTGGAAAGTTTGCACAACTTTGAAGCTACTGTAGGTGGGCCTGCTGAAAGACTGGTGACTGGGAGCGGCCCCCGAGACCATATAACACCGGTCTTGAAAGACCTACATTGGCTCCCAGTACGTTTCCGAGCACAATTCAAAGTGTTGGTGCTGACCTTTAAAGCCCTAAACGGCCTCGGTCCAGTATATCTGAAAGAGCGTCTCCACCCCCATCGTTCTACCCAGACACTGAGGTCCAGAACCAAGGGCCTTCTGGCGGTTCCCTGCCTGCGAGAGGCCAAGTTACAGGGAACCAGGTGGAGGGCCTTCTAGGTAGTGGCGCCTGCCCTGTGGAACGCCTTCCAACCAGATGTCAAAGAGAACAACAACTACCAAACTTTTAGAAGACATCTGAAGGCAGCCCTGTTTAGGGAAGCTTTTAATGTTTGATGTATTACAGTATTTTAATATTTTTTTGGAAGCCGCCCAGAGTGGCTGGGGAAGCCCAGCCAGATGGGCGGGGTATAAATAATAAATTTGTTGTTGTTGTTGTTGTTGTTGTTGTTGTTGTTGTTGTTGTTGTTGTTGTTGTTGTCAGCCTCACAGGATTCTGTGCCTCAACTCCCCCATCTCTCTGTCAATCAGATTTTCCAAATCTCTGAGCACTTCTTCAAACGGTCTTGAGAGTGACAGGAGGATGAGTGTGTGTGACAGGAGGATTATTACTTTTGGACCGCCCAATTAATGCTTTTAAAAGAAAACATTTTGTTCCCCCTCATCTTTCTATCTCCCCACCTTCCTCCCCCTCTTTTTAAATCTAACTTTCCAAATCTCTGAGCACCACTTCAAAAGATCTTGATGGTGACAGGTGGATTGTGGGGAGGGGGCAATCAACATTTTGGACCGTCTAGTTCAGCACCATCTATGCTGAATGGCAGCAACTCTCCAGGATTTTTGATATGGGTCTTTTCCCTGCCCTACCAGGAGATGCTGGGAATTGAACCTGGAACCTTGTGCATGCAAAGCAGTTGCTCTGCCACTCAGCTACAGCCCTTAAAAGAGGCAAGAGGGGGAAAGTGCTATGAGAGAACGAGGGAGGGAGAAAAGGCTGTGCACTGATCCAGCTGCTGTCATCCAGCTCACTGGCGTTTGGCTCGGCACTTTTGCCCCATGAAAACAGGAGCCGGGAGTGAAAAACAAAGCCAACAAAGGGCCGGCCATTGCAGGCCTGGCCGAGGTGGGAAAGGGGCAGTCTGGATTGTATAGCTTTGCTCACTCTGCGTTGAGGCAGAATTAGCTCCATGCTGAGTGGTTTTTAGCAAAGACAAATTTGGAGCAGGCAGCATAAAAACCGGGATGAAAAAAGGGAGCAAAGTGGAAATGGCAAGAGCAGCCGAGGCCCAGCTGGGGCCGCATTTCTTTCTGGGACCCTGCCCTTTCTCCTCAACAAAGTTGGCATGCCCAAGAGGTTGTGGGTATGTAGATAAGTGTATTTTCTCTCCCCCACCCCACTCACCCCGCCGTCCCCCGCAAACTTTCTTTCTCCAAAGCCTCTGGCAATTCACAAGCACCAAGAGAAGAAAAGAAAGAAAACCCCAAAGGGGAACTTCATTGACTGTGTGCCCCATCCCAGAGGAGATGGTGCCAGCCGTCCCAGAGGAGGTGGTGCCAGCCACAGCCAAGCTGGCCAAGGAACCTGAGAGAGAGGAAGAAAAGAAGGAAGAAAAATGGGGTTTAGAAAAAAAAGATGGGGGGTGAAGCACAGCCAAAAAAGCGGAACCTTTGAAGAGAGGCAAATTGAGACGTTCAAAGGATAGGCGACAGGGAATTGTGGGGGGAGGACAAGGGGGAGGAAATGTCTCTGTTGCTCCGCTTTTTATTACTAAAATAATGTTTATGGGGGAAGGGAGGGAGGGGAGGTTTGGGGTTGGCCAAGAAAGGAGGGGAGTTTGGATCCTGACATGGACAGGCTGTTTAATGCCAGGTGCCTGTGCTGCTTGTGGGGAGGGATTTTGTGAAATTCCATCAGAAACAGGAGCAGAAAATGCAACATTTCACACGTTCGCCCAAGGACAGAAATGGAAACCACGCAAGTGAATACAAGCAATAGTCACTGTTGTGGTGGGATTTTTTTTTTAGTCCGCAAATGTTGCATAAATAATTAGATCATTTTCTACTTTGCTTTTGATACATTCCTTCCACAGAAATGCACTGAAGTTAATGACATAATTCATTTTGGCCATAGTGGATAGTGAATAGAGTAATGTAGGTTTTAGCAGAAGCTGAACTGCAGCAGAACAGAAGCAGCACTGGTTGTGACAAACATAGGATGGGACCGAAACCACTGCCTCCTTAACTTCCTCTTTGGGGGTGAGGCAGCAGGGACCACATCAGGAAGGCTGCTGCAAGCAGCACCATGCTAAATTTTCCTTGCTCTTCTGTTGTCAAGGCAGAGAGGCAGAGAGGTGTTCCACAAGCTTGTTTTCCCAGATGAGCTCCAGCTTAGAAGCACTTAGCTATATGCATTGTGATGGACTGCTATTGTGGAACTTTATTCAGAGGTGATGTTGTCTATCAAAACACCAGAGCAACTGATGAACTATCCTTGCTATGGCAAGGGAATGAGCTGATGGGGAGGCTTTCAAATTATACTATTTTTAATGAAAGTTTAGTGCAGGAAGTCAAGAGAATGATTTAAAATCAAGCAAAAGCTGGGTACTTCTTTCATTTTCTTTGGCTCCTACTTCATGCCAGCAGTTTAAGATTGTTTGCTTTTCTAACTAAAAACTAAGGGTGGTTTTCAAATAAGTAGACCAACTGAAATAAATGGAGCTAACTTAGTCATGTTTCATTGGGTCTACTCTGAAGAAATACTTAGCTGAACATCACCCTAAAGGCTGCATTTCGGTGGTTTGAAGAGCTTTTGTTGAAGCTCAATGGGTTTTACAAGCTGCACTTCTAAATAATAATGTCTCCTTCAAATATCATTTGTTTGCTTGCTTGCTTGTTTATTTAATACTGTGTAGTCTCAACTACAAGGGCATTTGATGTAGCATGACTAGGGTCCAAAGCAGAAATTTCCTTTTACACTGGTACCTTGGTTTGCATATGTCTTGGTTTGCATATGTTTTGGATTACAAACATGTCAAACCCGGACGTGCGTGTCCCGGTTTGCAACCTTTTTTTGGATTACAACCCATTTTTTTGGGATTACGAACAAATTTTTTTGGGAGGCCCCATTGGTGCCTTGGGTTACAACCTGTTTTGGTTTACAAACGGACCTCCAGTACAGATTATGGTTATAAACCAAGGTACCACTGTACTCCCAACCCCATGGGTGCTGAGGGAATGGTGGGTGGGGGGCTGGGGGGCAAGGAACATTGGCAACTGATGCAGCAATACAGAGAACTGTGGAAATGACTAGAAAGAATGAGAAACAGAAATTGATAATTTTGTCCATCCCTCACTGTGATGTTGCTGCCGCCCTGCTGGCTTCTTAGTTGTCATCCTAATTGCATTTTCCCCTTGTATTTTCTTGCAGACTGTGACTCCTACTGCAAACCAGCCAAAGGCAACTACAAAATTAACATGAAAAAATACTGCAAGAAAGATTATGGTAAGGAGCAGCTCTCCTTTCTCTAATGCAAAAGGGTTTCTCAGAATGTAAAGGTCAAACCAGGAATTTCCTATCTGGGAACTTGCCTTACCTTCTGGTCAGTGGTTTCCAAATAAGTCTTTAAGAAGCACCAGCTGCAGACTGTAAGATCTCTGGGCTCAGAAGTCCCAGTGGTGGAAGATGGGAGGAGCGGGGGGGGCGTCACGCACTGGGTGTCATTCCTGAGGGGGGTGACATCGCCGACCCACTCCCAGACACTCACTGCACCCCCCTGGGATGCTCGTTGCAGGTGACACCCCCTGGGATGTGTGCCGCAGACAGCACCCCCCTGGGATGTTCACCACAGGAGGCGCCCCACAGGTGCACAGCATGTGTGCCTCTCCAGGTGCTGGAACAGTTAGCTCCGCCTCTGAGAAGTCCTCCTGATACATGTTAGAGTCACTTTAGATGAGATCAGGACCTCGATCTCTCTCACCTAAATATAATAGAAGCAACAAAGAGTCATTAATCAGATTGGGGCCACAGCACAACCCTGTTTTCCCAAAAAATCCCATGCCCTCAGCACCCCACAGACAAAACAGACAGATAACCCTTCTTGCCTGGTGCCATGTCCCTGATCCTATTCAGGGGGCCTACAGCCACTATTAAAATTTTAAATAAAATTTGCAGGAGATTCTGGGCACAATTTTAGGCAGTATCTTGCACAGGTGGTAGCTGTTGCCCATTGGCAGTGGGAGGGTGGAAAGCAGGGAGGTCAACTGTAGGTGGCGCCAGAGCCAACGGCAGGCAGGTAGATCCAGATAATTCTTGTTTTCTCTCCATCCTCCTCCCTGCTGAGTTCTACAGCAACAGTGAGACTAAAGAGGAGCAAGATGATAGGCAGTGCCATCTGATGGACTGGTTCTAAGCAGGAAGGCAGGCTAGCAGGTGGGGGGGTGGCTTAGGGAGATAGTGGTTGGGCTATAATGGACTGGCTTCTACTGCCTTAAGTAGGCCAGAAAGAGCCCAGATTATCATATACAGTACTAATTTGACTTCTGATTCAGGTCTTTGAACAAGCTGCTGATCAAACCTCTGTGATGGAGGTGGGGGCACTAATAACCAGATCACTGAAATCTACCTTTTGCTTCATGAGGTCATTTTCACTAGATATGTTAGACTCCATCTGCATTTAGAATGGTATTATACCACTTTAAGCAACCATGACCCCACCCCCCAAACCTGGAAACTGTCGTTTGTTAAGAGTGCCGAGAGTTGTGTTATTCCCCCACACAGAGCTAAATTCTCTGAGAAGAAGATTGGCTGTTAAGCTACTTTGGGAACTGTAGCTCTGTGAGGGGACTAGGGGTATCCTCACAGCTCACAGCACCCATAACAAACTACAGTTCTCAGAATTATTTTGGGGGAGCCATAACTGTTTAATGTGGTATGACTGTTTTGAATGTATTGTGCAAATGCGGACTATATCTCAAGCTCAGATATGGCCTTTGGGTGCTCAGAATGCTGACATCAAAGGCCACCCAGCTCTTCCATTTCGCTCCCCTCCTCCCCATATATCCCTGCTGGCTCAAGCTGACTATGGTGGAAAGTCGTGGTAGAGGAAGGGTGCTTGCTACAACAACTCGATTAGCCACCTCCTAGTGGGAACTGCACTGAATTCAGTGAATCCAAACCTACCCGTGCCCTACTGTTTGTAACACAAGCAATATGACACGAGTGAAGTTGTTTTGCTGATTCGCGGTGATCAGATTCCAAACAGGGATTGACAAAACAAGCGTGACATGGCAAAGATGACAAAAAAATTAGTATGGGACGGCTTCCCCATGTTTCCTGTGCTTGTTATACGCTCCTGGCTTCAGGGGTTGCTGATCTTGCCCTATTTCTCCACTTTGAAATTCTCTCTCTCTCTCTCTCTCTCTCACACACACACACACACACACACACACACAACTAGGAAAACTTGCTGGACCCTCTCCCCTTTCCGCCTAAACCACAGTCACTCCCTGTCTGCCAAATATGTTAAAAAGTACCCTCTCTTCTTCCCAGTCCCCTTGTTTTGCAAGGTGTGTGGGGTGAGAGGGTTTGAATGGGATGGGATGTGTGTGAAGTTTGGACTCAGGACATCCTGACGGCAGGTTGTAAATCACCCTGACAGAAGCACATTCACTCTTTGGAGCAGAGGGAGGATCCCTAAAAGAGGCTGTGGTTTGTGACTGATCTCCCACAGGAACTCCTTGGCTCAGACAGAAAAGATGTTTTTGGCAAGGTGGAAGGGAACGGGAAGATGGACGTGAGACGGGGTGGCAGCCGAGAAGTGTTTTGGCTTTTAAATGCTATCTTCTGCAAAGGCAGTTAGCCTTGCAGATAATTGTGATCAGAGATCGTTTATTTAAATACATTTGTGTTCCCTGCTTTTTGGTCTATCAGGATCTACAAGGCATCAATATAAACAAAACATATGAATCCTATAATTTAAAAAAAAATCAGTGCTGTAGCACAAAAAAGCTAGTAATCACAGTAGTGTAGCATACCCTCCAACATTTCTCCAATGAATGTCCTATCCCATAATAATAATAATATCAACAGTAATAATATTTATACCCCGCCCATCTGACTGGGTTGCTGCAGCCACTCTGGGCAGCTTCCAATCTGTATAAGACCAGAATAAAAAAACTGAACATTAAAAAACTTCCCTATACACGGCTGCCTTCAGATGTCTTCTAAAGGTTGTATAGTACTTATCTCCTTGGCTCAGGGGTTGCATAACTCCATACCCTCCAAGATTTCTCCAGTGAAAATAAAGGTAAAGGTAAAGGTACCCCTGCCCGTACGGGCCAGTCTTGACAGACTCTAGGGTTGTGCGCCCATCTCACTCAAGAGGCCGGGGGCCAGCGCTGTCCGGAGACACTTCCGGGTCATGTGGCCAGCGTGACAAGCTGCATCTGGCGAGCCAGAGCCGCACACGGAAACGCCGTTTACCTTCCCGCTAGTAAGCGGTCCCTATTTATCTACTTGCACCCGGGAGTGCTTTCGAACTGCTAGGTTGGCAGGCGCTGGGACCGAGCAACGGGAGCGCACCCCGCCGCGGGGATTCGAACCGCCGACCTTTCAATCGGCAAGCCCTAGGCGCTGAGGCTTTTACCCACAGCGCCACCCACGTCCCTCCAGTGAAAATAGAGATGACCTAAGGAAAAGTGGGGCTTCTGTAAATCCGTGACTGTCCCTGGAAAATAGGGACGCTTGGAGGGTTTGGTGTAGAGACATGGAGATGATAAAAGATGATCTACCACCTTGAGAAGGTCACCCAAAGCTGCATTCCTTGACTCAGAGTGCAAATCTCAGGAACCTGTAATGCTTGCCTCTGATATGACTATGAATGGAGTAAGAACAAGTTGCTGTGAATTGCAGGTTGCTATGCCATTGCATCGTTGACCACCTCTGTTTAAAGAAGTGCTTTAAGGGGCTGGTCAGTGCAAACCCTGTTTAAAGTTGAAGTGCCATCAGTAGGGCTTCCCATTGAGTCATCTGCTTGGTCACTGTGAGAACAAGAAGGTGGGCTAGATGGACATTTCCTCTCACTCAGATCTTCTGCTGATGGGACTCAACTGAGTCCCACCCGCAAATTGTAAAATCATAAAATCCAGACTAATTGATTCAAACTAATTCTCTAAAAACAAATGCAGTTTTGGAGGGCAATGAGATATCTGGATCGTACACACCTGTCTGACTTCAGTAGGAACAGAGTTGCATCTTTACTTGTGTCCCTATGCTGCTAAAAGCTTTGATTCGTGTAGAAACTAAACACATAAAGAGATAACTGTGAGACAGTCAGGAGGGCTTCTCCACATTATTGCAGTGGTCTGGCCAGGTTAGAAGGGACAAAGCAGGTAACCTTCAGGCGAGCTGGTCCTAGGCCATTAAGGGTTTATGCACTAACAGTAACACTTTCAACTTCACTTGGTAAAATACTGGCAGCCAGTGCAGCTCGTTCAGAAACAGCGTAAGAAACTGATGCATGGGGCATGACTATGAAATCTCATGATTGCTCAACAACTCTTTGTAAATTTAATTCTGATACATCGCTTCACATATTCAGCATCAGTTCCTTGCCACCTGTGGCCTCACTTTCTCTCCTTTCTTGCCCTGCAGTTGTCCAAGTCAACGTCTTAGACATGGAGACGGTGGCCAACTGGGCCAAGTTCACTGTCAACATCCTCTCGGTCTACAAGTGCAGAGACGAACGGGTGAAAAGGGGCGACAACTTCTTGTGGATCCACATGAAAGACCTGGCGTGCAAATGCCCCAAGATCCAAATCAGCAGGAAGTACTTGGTCATGGGGATCAGCGAAAACCCCACTGACCGGCCAGGACTAATGGCTGACAAGAACAGCTTGGTGATCCAGTGGAGGGATGCCTGGACTCGGCGGCTCAGGAAACTGCAGAGGCGGGAGAAAAAGGGGAAGTGCTTGAAACCATGATTGGTTTAGGCTCGTGTCTGTTAATACATGCCTCCCTTCTCTCTGGTCCCCTGTGCACTGCACCCAGCAGACTGTTCCTAGAGACTCTGTACATATACATATCATGTGAATGGATGGACTCGCCTGTGTATAGTGTATATTTTGGCAATGATTCCTTGGGGGGTGGGGGTTGTGTGCATGGGTCCTTTTTTAAAAAAAAAGTTTATTAAGAGTAACACAGTAATGACAAACCTTTAACAAGGAGCGAAGTGAAGGAGAAGGCTGGTGAACTGAAGAGACTTGGAAGAAGACAGCTCAGAATGTCTCTGAGCAGGAGCAAAATTCCCACCCTGTTTTTCTTTTTTAAAAAACAAAACAAAACAATGACAGTGTTTCTCTGATCCTGCCAAATTCTAGAGGGGCAACCACAGGAGCTGTCACTTACTGGGAAGGGGTGAGGTGGTGGGGAGGTCAGGACGGCACATGTGCACCCACAGAGCCAATCTGGTGTTCCCATCTGCACACCCACAAAAAGTTGACCTTACTGCCATGTTATGCTTCCTACTTCCGGAAAGTGATGCCCCTTCCCACTAATCACTCCTAGGTAGTCATATTAAGTCTGTTAACAGTAATCTCTCTCTCTGTCTCTCTCTCTCTCTCTCTTTCTAACACACCCGCACACATACACAGGCCACATTCACAACATACATTTAAAGCCCTACCATGCCACTTTAAATAGCCATGGCTTTCCCCCAAGAAATCTTGGAGCTATGGTTTGTTATGGGTGATGAGTATCGTTAGGAGGCCTCTATCCCCCTGCCAAGTGCTGCAATTCCCTGAGTTTCCTGTGAAAAGGGATTGACTGCTAAACCACTCTGGAATTGTAGCTCTGTGAGAGAATTAGAGATCTCCTAACAACTCCCAGCACCCTTAGAAACTATAGCTCCCATAATTCTTTTTTGGGGGGAGACATAATGATTTAAAGTAGTATCATAATGCTTTAAAGGTATAGTGTGAATACTCCACCCCACCCCCAGAGAAAACCCACCTTGGGACACCTTAAACAGATCTGTGGTAGGATTGTGGCAGGAACTCAGAGGTGCCTGAGGTGGTGTCATCAGTTTGGAATGGCTTCCAAAAAAGCTGAGGCAGAAAAAGGGGTGTTTCCTCAAACATTTTCGGGGGGGTTGGGATTCACCAATAGTTTTTTTTTGGGGGGAGGGGGTTCCTTCTTTTGTTCTACAAGCAGCAAAAGCAGCAAAAGCAGAGCTTCTGTTATGGCATCCTGGTACCCCCTTCATACTTCATAATGCCCCGGATGGTCTCATTGTCCCAGGGTTTTGTGGTTTGGGGTGACAGTGGGGGGAGTGAAGGCCCTCATGAAATAGCGACAGATAATTTTAATCAAAATGGCCCTCCGTTGGGAGGGACAAGCAAAAATGAAGATGGTCTGCTGAGAAGTATTGCCTCATTGCTCTCTCTGTCTCTCTGACACACATACACTGATAAATGTCCCCTTGCTTAATTAATCAGATAAGTTTTAATTGAGCCATCGATTCAATCTGCACAAAATTGCTTACGAGAATAAATAAACTTTCTTCAGAGATCAGGGGTGGGGAACCTCTTTCAGCCTGAGGGCAGGCTTCAGACTTGGCCAAGACTCCAAATGGACGAGGTCAGAGGCTAAGTGGGTGGGACTTAAATTTAAAAATAAAGTGAAGCTGAAATATTGAATACAAGTGGTGCCCATGTGTCACAGTGGGCTTCCTTTTTAGAACAGTCCTTTCTCATTCGTTCTCACGTGAAGAAATGTAAGGTAGCATTTTCTATCTGCAGGGTTTAGCTTTGTTTATACAAGTGATATAGGCACCTTTTCAGATGCTCAACGTATTTTCAGTTGATTCATGTCTCTAACCCAGCCTTACCTGGTTGCCTGCATGTGGCTGGACTACAGCTCTCATCATTCCAGACCAGTGACTATGTTGGCTGGGACTGTTAAGCATTGAAGTAAAGAAGACAACAAAGAAGAATCTGGAGAGCAGTAGGTTGAGGGAAGGCTGATTTAAGCTGTCAGATGCCTAAGATTAAGGCTGAACCCAGAGTTCTCAATGGAGAAATTTCAGTTTGAATTTGGGAAGGCTGGGGGGTGGGCATGGAGACAAGTGCTCACCCCATTCCACATCCCCACAGGGAGCAGCTGTGACAGTCATTGGTCATTGAAAAAAGCAGTAATGGGAAGATCTCCATTTTGTGCCCTTTTGGATCCCTCCTCCAATACCCATAATGCACCTTACTCCAATTTTTCTATCTACTGTTAGAACAGAGAAAATAGGATGTAAGCATGGGGCAAATGTGTCAGAGACTCTACCTTTTGCCTTCCACCAACTTTGGGCTTCACTGTTGACCACCACTGCCACCCCTTATACCTCTGTGTCTCTGTGTGGGTATCTCTTGTGTATGTGCTTGTAATTTCCACCTGATGTATTGGTCTCTGGTCCATAAACACTTAAAGCCACAATAAGTCTGCTAGTCTTTAAAGTGAAACAAGACTCCTTCCCGCTTTTGTGCTCTGGTTTTTGCTCAGGGTTGCATCGAGTGCTAGTCCTAATCAGAGTAGACCCATTGAAATCAGTGGACACGGCTAACTTAGGCTCATTCATTTAAGTGGTTCTCTGAGTAGAACTTAGTTGGAGGCCATCCTAAGATGCAAATTGTGAGGTGGGCTGATGCTCATCTCCTAGTCTCACCTTGCTGCCTCCTGGCCTTCAGGACTGCCAGTTGACGTAGTTCTTTTACTGGGAACCTGAGCTGCCTGCCCTTGTAAAGTTTGCATTTCTTAGTGGTCAGCGCCACCCCAAGACATTTGCCACCTGAAGCAAAGAACAAGGTGGTGGACCCTCTTTAACATACAGAAGCTGTTTGAACTAGTAGCTGAGCCTTATTTTGACACTGACAGTGGGACAGTGTCTTCTTGAGGGGAGCAGTCTGGCTTAGGGGACACAGGGCAGGTTGTGCTTCAACACCTTGCCACCACTCCCTGCCCCTCCCCCCAGCACCCAGCACCTAATATGACTTGTCTAAGTTCTGCCTAATTGTAGAGCTGGCCTTGTTGGTTGAGGAACCACTTAGGGGTAACATGACAGCCTCAACAAAACCTTCTCTTTTTTTAGCTCTTCTGGCTGTCAAGGAATGCGCGCATCTTGTATCTAACTGCCATATAAATTTGGATGGGTTGAAAAACATGTAAGCTGCACGGCTCATTCCCACCAAATACTGAACAGAATGATAGACCTACACAGAGAGATGCACACAAACCATAGCTGTCAACTTTTCCCTTTTCTTGCAAGGAATCCTATTCGGAATAAGGGAATTTCCCTTAAAAAAAGGGGAAAGTTGACAGCTATGACACAAACAAGCTAAGGATCTTTTAATGAAAGTTCGTATCTCACTAGATGCTTAACTCATCTGCTCTGATTAGACAGTAATCTTTTCTTGCTGTGACTAACAAATTGCCAGCCAGTCCTATACTTGCAAGCTGTCTGTGATATCAGGAGCCCCAAAGACAGTCTAAGGCATTATGTCTGTCATTGACTTGCTTGAACAATGTCACATCTGCCTTCTGGATTCCATTGGCTCAATGGTTCTGATGTCACTGAAGTGTCGCCATGACTGCCTACTGGTTGCCATTGGCTCAGCTTTTCTGACATCACAGAAAGTGGACTGCCTGGGGTGTCATGGCTGCCATTGGCCCAGTTGCTCCAATGTCACAGAGGGTTTGCACACTTAGGACCAAACATTTAACTGCTTATGGAAAGTGGGGGAAATAGTGACATATGAACTCTGGAGCCCAGAGAGACTTAAACCAAACAGTGTGTCACATGTATAGCAATGCCTTTCGATTCTTAAAGCCAGCCTTATCATTGTTTTTAGTACTTTGGTTTAATAACAGCTGCTATTTAAAGTCACCAACAGATCACTGCAGAGGGTTTGTAGGTACACAAGGTTATCCTGCCATCTGTTTGGTGCAAAGAATGATGATTTCATCAGCTTGAACAAGTGCATGATGAGATGATGAGCACCTTGGCTCAGTGCCAATGTTAATTCTTTTTAGCAGCAGTTTCAAAAGCCATCTGGCTGCCGTTTCAGCATAGTCTAAGCACTTTCATTGTTGTTTTGCCCACATGACTTGCAAGGCAGGTCCAGCCAGGGTACATAAGGCCACAACATTGTCATGTCTGGTCTGCCCAAGCTTTTTCCTTGAAGAGCATATCTCCTCATTTCTCATCTGGACTGACTGAAGCACCTTAGGCCACCATTTTGTCAGCTGCAGGGGCAAGTGGAGGTTAAGGGAAACAGCACCCAAATCTTAGAGGGCCCAAATGCCAACACCTCCCTTTTGTTTGCGGGAATTTTTAAAAAAACGCTTTCATACACATTTTTGAAGCAGCATCAAGTCAAGCAGCTGCAGATACCACCACCTTAATTTTCCCAGAATGCCTCTGGGCCTCAACATACAGTCCAGAGGCATTCTAGAGAAATTAAGATGGCTGTAGCTTGTCTGCCCCCTGGTAAGTTTAATGGGCAGACACCACACCAGATCAGTTATGTGGTCTCCACCAAGGTGGTTCTTGTTCATAGCCCTCTCACACCTATTGCCAAGTCCCCTGGTTAGTGGGAATAATTGCAGTGACATCCTCCTTCATATTTTCATCTTGCTCATACTTGAAGCTCAGCCAGCCAGCTTCCCCTGCTTGGAAGGATATCCTTTCACAACTGTGAAATAATCTCCTGAGATTGAAAGCCCACCCTACGCAGCAAAAAAAACCACTGCTGCTACTCACCCCCATGCCAGATTGGATAAAGCATCCCTATTTGAAGAACCATAAATGCTACTTCTCATGAGATGTTGTTGATGTTCACTTGCTTATGATAATGTGTGTTTCAGGCACAATTTTCTCTTTGCAGTGCATGAAAGCAAGAAGGATAGCTTAGCCTTCTTCACTTTAAATTTACAGAAGCAATATACAGTGGTGCCCCGCAAGACGAACGCCTCGCAAGACGGAAAACCCGCTAGACGAAAGGGTTTTCCGTCGCGGAGGCGCTTCGCAAAACGAATTTCCCTATGGGCTTCCTTCGCAAGACGAAAGCCCATAGGGAAATCTCCGGGACAGCGGGGAAGCGCAGCGCCTCTTCCCCACTGTCCTCGGACCTCCTCCCGCCGCCAGGCTTCGGAGGGCTGCTCCGAAGCCTGGCGGGGGGGCGGAGAGGTTTTTTAAAAACCCCGGGACAGCGGGGGACTTCTCCGCTGTCAGGGGCGATTTTAAAATGCTGCCGGGCGGCAGCGCTGACGCCCGGCAGCATTTAAAAAAACCCGGGACAGCGGGTTTAAAATCGCCCCGAGCGGCGCGTTTCTCCGCTGTCCCGGAGGGCTTTTGAAGGCAGGCGGGGGGAGCAAAGACTTTCGCCCCCCGCCCGCCTTCAGAAGAGGTCCTGGACCTCTTCTGAAGGCGGGCGGGGGCAAAAGGCTTTGTTCTCCCTTGCCTGCCTTCCCGGGAGAGCGGAGAAACGCAGCGCGTTTCTCCGCTGTCCCCGACGGCTTTTGAAGGCAGGCGGGGGGGAGCAAAGACTTTCGCCCCCCCCCCCGGAGGCCTTCAGAAGAGGTCCTGGACCTCTTCTGAAGGCTGGCGGGGGGGCAAAAGTCTTTGTCCCCCCGGCCTGCCTTCCCGGGGGCTTTTAAATCGCCCCGGGACAGCGGAGAAGTCCTCCGCTGTCCCGGGGTTTTTTAAAATGCTGGGGGTAGGAAGAAAAGCCCTTTGTCCCCCCCCCCAGCCTTCAGAAGATGTCGGGGGACAGACTGTCCCCGGACCTGGTCTGAAGTCGGTTTCCCTAGGAACGCATTAATTGATTTTCAATGCATTCCTATGGGAAACCGTGCTTCGCAAGACGAAAAACTCGCAAGAAGAAAAAACTTGCGGAACGAATTAATTTCGTCTTGCGAGGCACCACTGTACCTATGAATACTCAATACTCAGCAGAACGAACAACTAGGGGAGGAGGATTTCCTTTATGTCAAGACACATTGGCTTTCTCTCTGTTGTAAATAGAATGTTGGAGTAGGTCTAGGATGATGCTGGACTCAAACTCCCATCATCCCCAGCTAGCTTAGCCACTGGTCTGGAATGGTGGGAGTTGTAGTCCAAAATATCTGGAGAGCCACCTCTAGACAAGATTAAAATTGTGGTTGAATCCAGCAAGAGTATTCTTACCATGCCAATGAGAAATGGAACAAAGAGTAATAGATTGACTGTGGCATACAGCAGGGGTGGACTTTGGTAATATGGTGCCCTGAGCTAGGACAAAATTTGGTATGCCCCCTAAATCTTTCTTATTTACATCCCCTTAGCTCGGCAACCACCCACACCACCCTAAATCCAGCGCTGCATATAGGCTGTAGATCTAAGAAGCATACTGTTAAAGGCAAAGAAGTGGGTAGCCCAGTAGAGATAAAATAGTAAAGCTATTTATTTCAAAGCTTTGGTTTAACTCTTCCTTGGTAATCCAGCTAGGTTTTCAAATGAGCAGTGGACGCTAAGGTTGACAGTCTTAAGAACACAGTCAGGATGGGGAAAGTCTTATTAAGAAGGGTAGCTTATATGAGAGGGGTTTTTTGTTTTTTGTTTTAAGGAAATAATTAAATGTCAGCTTTCAAATTAAGTTAAAGTGCAATCCTGAACCTGTCTACTCAGAAAGAAGTCCCCTTGGGTTCAAGGGATCTTACTCCCTGGAAGATTGTATATAGGATTACAGCCTTAGTGTGTTAAGTCTATAGATCCAGAAGTATGGATGCTTTTGGAATCCGATAACTAAGGTGTCACCCAATCAAACGTGCAGATTTGAATGTAGGTACTCATCAGATTTTACATTTCCCCAAATATTGTCACACAGTCCTTGGCTCAAATCCCGCTCCCATCCCACAAGCATTTTAAAATGTAGATTTTGAGGTAAATTTAACATTTTGAAATGTGTATTTTGAGAGCAAATACATTAAAAAATATTTACAATTTTAAACACAAACTTTTGTAAGTTGTTTTTTTAATGTTGCAGATTAATGCAAATAACAGGATCAAAAGTCCTTGTGGAAATGGCACACGTGAAAATGGCATGGACTGAGTATAGTAGACTAATTCCTCTATCACTGCCCAGAATTTTTCCCTCTCTTCAAATACCTCCAGATTTGTTGGTTGTTCAGAGGGACATTTTTCCAAGTCAATGAAGTGGCAGCCATCAAAATTGAAATATTTTGAAATAGATTGTTGGAACTTCTTTGTCAAGGATTATTTCTTTGTGGGTACTAAATCATCTACAAAGCCCTATTGTTCCAGCATACCAGATGTCACACCCAGAATGTTTGCATTCAGTATACAGTGGTACCTCGGGTTACATACGCTTCAGGTTACATACGCTTCAGGTTACACACTCTGCTAACCCAGAAATAGTGCTTCAGGTTAAGAACTTTGCTTCAGGATAAGAACAGAAACCGTGCTCCGGCAGCGCGGCAGCAGCAGGAGGCCCCATTAGCTAAAGTAGTGCTTCAGGTTAAGAACAGTTTCAGGTTAAGAACAGACCTCCGGAACGAATTAAGTACTTAACCCGAGGTACCACTGTATATGATATTGTTCGACTTGCACACAGTGGAGGCTGATCCATCAGGGAACATGAGGTGCTGCTACACCAATCCCAATCTGCCCCCAGCCCGCCCCCACCTTCCTGCCTTCTTACAACCAGTCCAGCAGGTGGCGCTGGTACCTGTCAGCTTCCTCCTCCTCCTTAATCACATGGTTGCCCTTGGAAGAACTCAGCAGGAAAGAGGATGGGAGCAAATCTAGAATTAGTTGACCCCACCTATCATTGGCTCTGGCTCCACCTAGTGTTGGGCTGCCTGCATTCTGCCCCACCAGTCCCAATGGGCACCAGCCGCCACGCTTGTGCATGCTGTTCTAATGGATCGTATCGTACCAGCTTTTTTGCTCCTAAAGCTTTTTCAAAAGTGTAGTTGATGCACACAGGTAACACTTCATGCATCCAATGAAGTGGGATAGAAGTCCCTGAAAAGTTTGTTCTACAATAAAGCTGATGCTACAAGACTCTTTGCTGGTTATACTGCAACTAAAACAGTCACTATTATACAGAAAAGCCATTCTTGAAACACGAATGCATCCTTCAGAACTTATAGGGTAGACACATCTTTTGTGCTTGAATATCCATTCCAGAAAAGACAATACATTTTGAGCAGCAGCATTAGGACATTTATAGTGGTGCGTTTACTCCAGCAGTTCATGTGGACAGAATCCGCATTTGAGAGCATCTGGGACGCAGGTGGCGCTGTGGGTAAAACCTCAGCGCCTAGGACTTGCCGATCGCATGGTCGGCGGTTCGAATCCCCGCGGCGGGGTGCGCTCCCGTCGTTCAGTCCCAGCACCTGCCAACCTAGCAGTTCGAAAGCACCCCCGGGTGCAAGTAGATAAATAGGGACCGCTTACCAGCAGGAAGGTAAACGGCGTTCCGTGTGCTGCGCTGGCTCGCCAGATGCAGCTTGTCACGCTGGCCACGTGACCCGGAAGTGTCTGCGGACAGCGCTGGCTCCCGGCCTATAGAGTGAGATGAGCGCACAACCCTAGAGTCTGTCAAGACTGGCCCGTACGGGCAGGGGTACCTTTACCTTTACTAGGACAATGTGTTCTTGAGAATGCCTTCCAAGGTTGTTAATGCAACCATTTGCAAGCCACCTCTCTCTGCATGGAAACATATATCCTTCTATCACAAGATCCAGGGGTCACACACTTCAAGAGTACAGTAATTATGGGATAAGTTACTGTGGGAGTAACCATCTCATCATTTGAATGAGCCATCCGCAAAAGAGCAGATGGAGAAAAACAAACAGTGCTTTCCAATAACATGGTGCGAGCTAATGTTATTAGCTTACAGATGAGGTTGAGTGCTGGTTTGTAATTGTACGTTTGCAAAGAACTCCTGCTTTGTTTATGAGAATTAAATAAATAAAAATGTTTTTTTAATGACTGAAATAAAAACTCCTTCATGTTTCAATCTGAAATGCAAAAAAAAAGAAAAAAGGTAATAGGTTTTCCAGGTGATCAGTTTATAAGAGCCTAGTAAGTGTACGTTATAACACATTTGTTCCAACAAGGTGTGTACATGTGTAAGAGAGAGAAGGTGTGTTGAGGGGGGCTAAGAATTGTATCAAATATCCAATGTTTAATTAGAGAATATCCCATTGATCATCAATATCAAAAATATTGTAAAATCTGTAGTCATGCCACGTTTTCTATATACTTACCATGTCCATGCTGTGTATTTTCCCTTCCCCTTGGTTTTTCTCCTTTTCTCAAAGATGTATACCTGTTCAATAAAAAATAACCAGTTGAGAGAGGGAGAGAGAACATACCCTAACATGGGGTAGTCATTGGAGCTACATAGTAGACTGATCTGATTACTAGGCCCCAGGGAAACTCAGTAAGACTTTATAGTCTTAAGGGTCATTCTGCTGACTGTGGCCTTGCGTGGTTATACCAAAGTCCTGCTCTGAAGGCACCAGTGAACCAACCACATTCTGGTCTGTGGTGTTAATAGCCTCACTTGACTTGCCTGAATTTCCTTCTTCCAACTAACTGGTAACTTGGATAATTAAACATCCAAGGCTTTTAACATGTATTTCAGTTTGCATTTAAAGGCAAACCTAATTCACACTTTCTGAAACAATATGCAAACTGAAACATAGCCATCCTTCAATATTTGAGTTCCTCTGAATTCAGCAATGTGTACAGTATTCTCCAGCCAAGCAATGTGTACAAAAACACAAATGCTAGGGTAAATATGCATTAAGATGTATATATTAGTGGAAATAACATGGCATTAAGGGAAAGTGTGGTGTTAGAGGAAATTGCTCTGCAAAAAATGCATTTGTTGGACAAAGTTGCATATAAAATGTGTGCAACGGGGAAAAATTGCACTAACATGTGGATGGATTTTCATTAGGGCTTTTTTAAACAAATGCAAACTGATATGGAAATGTGGAGAATGGAACTAAAGACTGGAAAAATTAGGAACTGAGAGAAACAGAAATTGAGAGAGTCGCCCATTTCCTACCCCAAACCTACTAAAATTTGAAAGAAATTCTGAAGTGCCCTGCCATTTAGGCAGAAAACAGAGGCCTCTTTCGCAGGGGGAAGAAAACTTTTGAGAAACTGAAGGACAGCACTACTGAATATTCTCCTGTTTCTCTGTTTACTAATTATGGGCAAAACTGAGGGTGGTTATGGCTGTTGCTCTACATGGACCAGCCACCTGTTGAGGTTTCCACACATACTGTATTTTCTTTACCTCCACAGCTGTAGGGTCAAGGAAAGAGTTTGGTATTTTCTTCTTCTTCTTCTTCTTCTTCTTCTTCTTCTTCTTCTTCTTCTTCTTCTTCTTCTTCCTGTTTCCATAATTTTTCTTTTTGCACCATCTCCATGAATAATCCAAATTCTACCGGCTGTTTTATAGGCACCTATAAAAGCAATACTCTACCCTCAGTCCAGCCAAAATAGAGGATGCTGGCCAAGCAAGACGGAGTTTACAGCCAAAGAACATGGCTGAACAAGAGGAAGCCATAAACTGATTGGCTGGCCCGCTCCTTGTTTTCTTAAGGAAGAGTTAAAGGTGGGGAATGGTTGGGGTCAGCGCGGTCAGCCATCTGGCAAAACCTGCTGGCTTCCTTCTGTGAGTGTTTTCCCAGTGCTGTGGTGATGGAGAGAATGAGGTTAAAGGGACCAAGGCTATAGGACCTCAGCTTGTCCCAGTTGACGCTACCTCATGGCTCAGCTATGCTTCCCTGTCCCTCAACTTGCACACTGTTGACCTCTCCCTGCTCTTACATACTTCCTCAAGAGCACCAAGGCTTACAAGAAGCTGCATCTGTGCGAACATATGACAGTTGAGCTTTGGAGGACACAGAAGAGATGCTGACAGAGTGTTCCACATTTCACAAGGTGTGGATGAGGCAACACAGGTGGGAGCAAGAGCCTACAGGGCTGGTTCCCTGTGACAGAATGCATTTCTGTGTGCAGTGAATTTCAGTCCAATTAAAACAGTGCTTCTCCTTCCCTTCTAATTGGTAGAGCTGGCCTGCAGCTCCAGGCCCTGGTTTCATTACCCCTCTTCCCCTTCTTGTGCTCTGGAGCAACAGAAATCTGGATTTGAGACTGATCTATTATGATTCTTCACATCACCAAACTCAAGTGTCACTGATAGCCTAACAGAGGCAAAGGGGCCTAACCAGATTTTACTGGACCTGTATTTCCCATCAGTCTGAGCCAGCATGGCCAATAGCCAAGGATTATGGGAGATGTAGTTCAGCAGCATTTGGAGGTCAAAAGCTTAGCCACCCCTGGCTTAAATGTGGCCCTCAAAATGTTTCTGGACTCCTAACTTACATTAGCCTGAGCCAGCATGGGCAAATAGTGAGGGAAAATGAATTGTAGTTCAGCAGCATCTCAAGTATAATCAAGTATAATTCTGGATTCTCCTGCAGTTGGAGAAATATACAAACCATGGATTGGTGGGTGCTTGGGACAAGCCTGACATCGTCCCACAAGGTGGATTCAGTGAGTCGCCTCTCAACGTGTGAAATTTTCCATCTTCCCTTGAAGACCCCCTGACTGGGGCTGGCAAACCTGGCCCCTCTAATAGTGTAATAAACCACAATGCCTTTGTAAGAGCACATTCTGTATTTATACAACAGCCCATGTATACAAGGGATTAAAATAAACCATTTATTCCTTCATCTTGGACAAATCACATTATCCAGAAACTCCAAGAAGCAGAGCTTTCTGTTGTCAAAATAAACACTAGCCTGTTCCCCCACCCCTTTCAAGAACCCACGCAGTGCAAAATAAATGGCTTCGGCCTACCAGATGCACAGCACGTAGGGAGGAAAGTTAATGGTAATAAAGCATTGTGGGGTCCAAGACAAATGGAAGCACTTTGCTTATTGGATTCACTTCATTATTGTGTCTGCCCTTCTTGTCCACTCTTATTCCATGACCTAATTTCCCCCTCCAAATGGCTAATGATTTTGAATGCCTGAATGCCACAGCTTTCAGAGACAACCCGGTTGCCAATTTCATCTCATTAGTAAAAATGAAAACTCTTCCAAAGAACAGAGCCAAACCCAGCCAAATATTTCTTCCTGAGACAATGGCATGGACCTCCACTGTAGTAAGACTTTTCTGTTCAATGTCACAGCACAGTCCGCTAAGCTGCATGTTCTTCAGTGGGTGCCGCAGATCACATCTTGAGGAAGATAGTCGTAAGAAGAATGAAAGAAGAGCCAAAGATCTAATCTAGCAGTAAGGAAATATTGCCCTCCATAGGTCACTGAAGTACACCTCCCGCTATCCCTGGCCATTGGCAATACAAGCTGAGGTTGATGGGAGCTGTAGTTCAGCAACACCTGGAGACCCAAACGTTCCCCACCTCTGCTCTAAGCCATCATCCTGGTTCCAAGATTGGCTAACTCTGGGAAGCCCATAAAGTGAGTTGAAAGCAGTAGCCTCCTTGTGTAGAAATGAGAGGGTCAGTCTATTTTCAGTCCATTTCCGTTTTGCAGGGGCAGAATGAGTCTTCTGTTTGAAGGCCTGTCCAGTTTAAGGATAAAGAACCCTAAGAAGGGAGAACAAGGACCTTGAAGTTGGTTATCAAGAATTAGCACAGGTCACTAACAGGGGATGGCATGGTGGAACAGAGACACTTACCTGACAAGTGGAGTGCCACAGGGCTCATTGTTATTCAACATCTTGATAAACAACTTGGGTGAAAGAATTAAGGGGATGCTTATCAGATTTGCAGATAACACCCAACTGGGAGGAGTAGTGAACACCACAGAATCAGGATTCAAGATGACCTTAACAGGTTGGAGAACTGGGACAAAACTAACAAAATGAATTTCAACAGGGACAAATGTGAGCTTCTACACTTAGGCAGGAAGAATCAGCTGCACAAATATAAGATGGGGGACACCTGACTTGCTAGTAGTACATGTGAAAAGGTTGTAGGTCTCTGAGTAGGCCACGGTCTTAACATGAGTCAACAGTGTGATGCAGCAACAACAAAAAAGCTAATGATATTCTAGGCTGCATCAACAGAAGTCTAGTGTCCAGTTCCGGACACCACAATTTAAGAAGAATATTGACAAGCTGGAGCTTGTGCAGAGGAGGGTGACCAAGATGACCAAGGGTTTGGAAACCAAGCCTTATGAGGAATGGTTGAGGGAGTTGACTATGTTTAGCATGGATAAGAAGAGACTGAGAGGAAATATGGTAGCCATATCAAATGTATAAAGGACTGTCACATGGAAGATGGAACAAGCTTGTTTTCTCCTGCTCCAGAGGGGAGGACCTGAACCAAAGGCTTCAAGTTACAAGAAAGGAGTTGTTGTTTTTTTACTAAACATCAGGAAGAACTTTGTGACAGTAAGAGCTGTTTGACAGTGGAACGGACTCCCTCAGAAGGTGGAGGACTCTCCTTCCTTGGAGGTTTTTAAGCAGAGGTTGGATGAACATCTGTCATTGATGCTTTAGCTGAGATTCCTGCATTGCTGGGGTTTGGACTAGATGGTCCTCAAAGCACCTTCCAACTCTACAATTCTATGACCTCCTGGCAAGTGAGCTGCTGCAGAGTTCAAAGGGGGAGAGATGGGAGAGACAGCAAAGAGGGTGGCTGCACTGGTGCATTTGTACTGCAGTGACCTCACTGCTACCTCTCCCCTTCCTCTCTCAGTAATAAGCAAAGACTTCTATTCTAGGAGGTTAGATACAGCTTCACCCCCCACTATGCCATCTTCCTGCCATATTAAATGTTATAGTAATTATTCCTCAATTTGCATCTGTACATATAAATTAGAACTTGCAAATGTATCCTCTGTCCCCCCCCCCTTTGCAATGCATAACCAGCCACCTACTCAGTTTACCGTACTTATTAAAGTGTTTGGAGGCCATCTTCAAACCAATAAATTGTCTTAGTGAAGGCATATGCCAAGAGACCTGTAGCCAAAATTTTTGTAGTAAGGAGGACCAGTTGCCAAGGAAGGAGGCAGAAATCATTGCAAAACAGAAATATAGATAACTAATATCTTTAATTTTTTTGATTGCATTCAATGTTAATAACATTATAATTCTATAAGATATAAAAATAAGGACCTACTGCTTCTCAGTTATTATAGTGCTCTTGTCCTCATTGTTGATTTGGGATCATTTCCAGTCTGTTTGTGTTGTTCATCTTTGATTATGGTGGGGTATGATTTGTACTTCTTATAGGATGGTTGGGTGAGCAGTTTTAGACACACACACACACACACACACACACACACACACACACACACACCATGTTTTATTGTATTTTCTTTATCCATTTGTATGTGTGTTTAAATGTTTGTAAGCTTCTGTGTCTTTTATGGATCTGTAAGTTGGTTTGAGAGAAAAAGTTGTATAGGGAGCAACAAATAAATGGCATGATGATGATGATGATGATGATATTCATGGTGTAGTGGTTAGAGTGTTAGACCAGGAGCTGGGAGACCAGGGTTCAAATCCCCACTCAGCCATGTAGTTCACTGGGTGGCGTTGGGCCAATCATAGGATTTCAGTCTAATCTACCTCACAGGGTGGTTGTCAGGATAAAACTGGGGATTGTATGCCACTTTGAGTTCCTTGAATGAGATATAAATGTACTCAATCAATCAGACAATAATTGACCAGAATACTAGAAGGAAGGAGTGGTTGTGTTCAATATCCATGGGTTGTTTTGTAAGGAGCAATTGGGTGGCATATTCCTGTCCATTTCTGCCTTATGCAAAGGGTCTAGAAACTTAAACAACAAAACTAACAGTTGGGAGACAGGGTAGCACATTTATTTTCTGTTATTTCCTTTTATTCTGCAGCCTGAAAATTTTATTGAAAACTGAAGGGATAGGATGTAGATTAAACTAAATTAATGAATTCATTACATTTCTGAGAAGCCCACCTCATTTAAGTCACCCCCTCAGCCCTAGGGCTACAGCCCTGTATGACCTCGACTTCCCTTTTGCTTAGAACAGCTACCAGAGATAAACATCTGGTGTGCTCACCTTTCCCCATACATCTCCACTGGCATCCTCTTTGGCTATAAACCCCAGTGACTCTGTTTGTACATTTCCTCCAAGTCCCGTTATTAATATTCTGGATGAGGAGATCTCATAAACTCCCATCTGGAAAAGCAGGTCAGGGAGGGGTGGGAGATACGTCCCAATGTGCCATAAAGCACATTGACCATTGCTTTCAAACGCATGTGGCGACATGCAGAACATGCATGGGGGAAGCTGAGCCAGTTTTAACGGCATTTAAAATAGGTGGCTGTGATGTAATTGGAATTTTAGGAGCAGCCTGAAATTAGGATCTGATTGTGCTTCATATATTTTGAACCTCGGGGAAGGGAAACTGAGCCAGCTGTGCACTAAATACCTTTTATACTTTGTCATCTTTGTTTTTAAAGGAGGTGGGTGGTTGAGACCCTGCTCCTTCTCTGAAATACAGTATAACCAAAGGGAAACCCATACACACACAGAGAGAGTATATATGCATCTGAATGTAGCAATCTCCAAAGAGGTGGGATTTATGTAGCCATCAGTTCTGGGGGAGGCAGGATGCAAAGGACCAGTGGAAAAGTAAATAAATAAAGTTTGGCACAGTCTTCCATGCCTAGGTCTCCACCTCCCTCCATTGCAGCAAAGAGATGGCACAATAGCTCAGTCAGTAGAGCACAGGACTCTTAATCTCAAGGTCAGGGTTCGAGCTCCACATTCA